CGCTGCGAGGTGTCCCGCGTGCTGCTGCTGCTGCTCCTGCAGCCGCCGCCCGCCAAGCTGCTCCCGGAGCACGCCCACACCCTGGAGAAGTACTCCTGGGAGGCCTTTGACAGCCAGGGCCAGGAGAGCGGCGGCCAGCTCCCCGAAGACCTCTTCCTGCTGCTCCAGTCCCTGGTCATGGCCACCCACGAGAAGGACACGGAAGCCGTCAAGGCGCTGCAGGTGGAGATGTGGCCGCTGCTGAGCGCCGAGCAGAACCACCTGCTTCACCTCGTGCTGCAAGAAACCATCTCCCCCTCGGGACAGGGGATCGGATGACTCGCATTAGCCTGGTGACTTTGCCTGCTGCCAGACCTCAGGCACCCGCCTCTGCATTTGGAGGGAAATAAAAGATATTGATCACCGCCGTTCGACCTTTGTTAGCTTATTCCTCTTGCCACCATAGGAATTTAGTTGACTGAAAGTTACCTGTACCCCAAAGATATATTTCCATAATAATGGGAGAAAAAAACAGTATGATGGGATCGGAGCAGAGCACATGGCTCGCTTCCCCAAAAACTGTAACATAAAAATGAGACTCCCTTTACCCTGTTTCGCTTCCACCCAAGTCGCCTCACCCCATACCCCCATCTTTGTTTCATTATCAGGATTTTATTTTGCACTGCTGTCTAAATACTTAAGCTATGTGGTTTTTTTTATCACGACTAATTTCTTGATGCATTTTTATATCTATCTACTATCTATGTGATCACCCCATTCCTCCTGTTTTATCTACCCCATACATATTCATGGGAACCATTTGGTTCCATACATCGTTGTTGCTACAGCTCCAAATCTATGATAAAGCCATTCCAAAAGTCCTGACATGTGGTTTAGATTTACTTCATCTATAAAATGGGAATAATTTATCTACTTGTCAGGCCCCAGAAAGCAGAAACAGTTCTCTTTCAGTTCCAAGATGTATTCATTCATTTGAAATTGACAGTGTACTTAGTATGCAAGTACGCTGGACAATGAGTCTACAGAGATCATTTACTTGGATAGCTGCAATGCAAATGTATCAGGTGCAATGTGGGGTTGGGGGATGTGGCTGGAGGGGGGTCCAAGGCAAAGGTGTCAGGTGTGCATTGGAATTCACATGTATGCTTCTATTCTGAGAGGTACCTATAATCCACAAATTATCATGACTAATTTCTTGGTGCATTTCTATATTTGTAGTAGGGATCTTTCTATAGCTCTTACATAACTCGACTATGTAAAATCAGCATGGTTCTTTGGTGTTGTGTGATCATGTATATGACCAAAAGTATGATGGCGTTCCATTTAAAAACTCTAAATTTTCAAGCCTTTTTCGTCCGGATGTTACATACAAACTGATTTGGCTGTGTGGTGTGTTTTGTTTTCTTTTTAAATTCAAACTTATTTTATTTACAGTTTCAAGAGTGATAAGAATTCTTCAGAGTATACTCTCATTCTCAATCATTCAGCTTTGGGAAAATGCATCCCAAACCAATACAAAATAATATTGAATGTAAACTGTAACTGAAAAAAAAATTAAAAAGACCAGTTTGCAACAGTACTTGGACATAATAAGGAGAGAACCAAATTAAGTAAAAAGGAAATGCGTGAATAAAGTTGATATACACTGGCTGAAAAAAAATTGAGTCTTAAATAATTTAAGAATAATGTATTTGTATATAAAACTAAGTTGTTAATGAAAATGAACTGGAAAATATTTGATAGACAATGGAAAGCTAACATGTTGATATTTGATGTGCCTCAGGAAAAGCCCACCATTCAAAGAACAGAAGAAATAATCAGATTTAAAGCTGGAAATAAAAAGTTCCTGAGTTGATGAAAGACATGTGCTTAAGAATGCACAAGTTAAAATGGGAACAAATTAGGAAGTAAAACTAAGAAGTAAAAGGATTAGAGAAATAAGGTAAGGGAAAAAATAAGACTATTGACTATAACAGATTAAACCAACAGAAGCAACAAAGATAAGTCACCATTACAAAAATCATATAAATTATGAGGGGTAGCATGAAAAAAATGTTTTCAGAATACAGAGAATCAGCAAAAAGGTAAAAGTGATTAGAGAAAAACATACGTTATGGAGCTAGAAGTCAAATCCAGGCATATCTGACTTCAAAGTCTGCACCGTTGTCTTCTGCCCTTGGATACATGCACAACCACTCACCTTCAACTTTCTTGCTACATTTAGCTTATTTTAATTCCACGTTACACTCTAGACCACTATCTATTCAAATGATCAGAATATGTATACTCTGTTGAGAATCACATGTCATTAAAGCCATTTCTGATGTATGATCTAATAGGAAAAGATATAAGCCTATGACTGAATAAGAAAGGTATGTATATGAGTCCACAGAACTCAGACCCTACCTAAAATCTGCTCCAGAATACAATGTAGCCTTTCACGGAGAAAATCTGGGAAGGAGTTCATCTATGACCTGCCCACCAGGGAAGGCCCGCGGGGAGAAGGTAGAGTCCAGCGCAGCCTGCAATCCTTCGCTTGTAAAATGTAAACATCTCCCAGTCAGGAGAGACCATGGCCCTCAGGTTCTTTTGTTTGTTTGTTTGTTAATGCTCACCCAAGGATATTTTTCCATTGATTTTTTAGGGAGAGTGGAAGAAAGAGGGATAGACAGAGAGAAACATTGATGTGAGAGAAACACATCTATTGGTTGCCTCCTGCACACACCAAGGTACATGCCCTTGACTGGAATTGAACTCAGGCCCCTTTGGTCCACAGGCCGACACTCTATCCACTGAGCCAAACCAGCTAGGGCAGTCCTCAGGTCCTTGCATCCTCTGTCCTGAACGGGTAAACTCCATCCTTTGTGCCCTCCACCTCCTGACCTACTTCTAAACTTCTTAGCTGCAGACCCCTCAACTCATCTCTTATTTTCTATATTCTGATGCCCTCCTCACATCTGCTAATTGGTACTAGACTTCAAGCACTGACTTCCATCTTTCTTACTCCATCAATTACTTAACTTATCTGTGTCTTAAGTTCCTCTTCTACAAAAAGAAAATAATAGTATGAATTTGGCTGTGGACCCTAGTGACTTTGGGTATCATCGCATTTTCTAGAGTTGGAATAAGAACCTTATTAAACGTTCAATAACAACAAAAATGCAATAATCAAAAATTAAACAAAAGAGAATAGGTAATAGCATTAAATTTGGCATCTAAACTATTGACTCAACTAATCAACAGGAGCTATAAGTTTCCAACATTAAATCATGGACTAGGGTCTTGCTTCAGAATGAACTGAAGAACAGTTAAACATTCAGTGGTCTCATAAGCTCCAAGTGATGCTGTGGATAATCCTAATCATCATATTGTCCAAAGTAGTAGATTTGGCTTTTCCACTTACTTGCTCCAGTGGTCAAATATAGGGGTGGGCAAAAGTGGTTTTACAGTTGTGAGTGCATGAAACACAGAGTTTATTTATTAATTATTGTATAATTTATTTGTTACTATTATTGTTTTTATTTCATATCCTTTCTTATTATTTAACCTTAGGGTAATAAGGGCTGGTTATTTAACCTACTTTTGCCCACCCCTATATCTGCCTTTTATTCCACCAGTTTCCCTATCTGTGCCATAGGCCAGTGTCACTTTATGTAATGTCCCCAAGAGACCTCTGGAGGGCGGCAGAGGGAAGGATGTCAAGAGCTGTGGTACATAAACCAACTGGAAAGACAAATTGTAGTCTATTTTATTACTATAGGCATGAAATCTTCAAATCAAGTAAAATCTGCAAATTTGTCCCCCACCGACAAGACATCTGGACTAAGGTAATTGTGTTGAAGGTCTACTTTGCTCTACTAGTGTAGACTCCATCTTTCTGTTCTCTAGGAAAGTCTTTGGTCTTCAACCCAATCTTTTTCTATACCCTGAGCTGTGGGGCTATTTTCAGTATCAACAGGAAGAGACCTGCCCCAGCAACATTACATTTCCCAAAGCCAAACAATACTTAGATCCCTGGGGAAAAAGAAGTATTCAGTATGTCTCTCAGAAGACCTCATAGGCTGTTTATTCTTGACTTCCTTTTCTTGCTTTACCAGTTCTCTAACACCATGCACCTTCCTCTTGCAAATAAACATAAGACCCTCATATTCCCAGAACAGCAAGAAATACTTGGGAAACATGGTCTTTTGTCAAGTGAATCCCTTGGGTTTATAATAAAAATAAATTCTCTACTCATATTCTATCCTCTTCTAACATCAATTTTATTATTCTCCCTTACATTTCACTCCCAAATTAGCTCCATTGTCTGTGCTCTAAGAATACTTTGGCTCAGTGTAGCCCCCTTCCACTTCAGTGGTGCTGATGAGTGATGTCAGGAAATATCAGCTCACACATGTTTTCTCTATAAACTCACAGATATTGTTTTCTATACAATAGTAATAAGTAATATCTAAATAAGTAAATGTCATAACTAATAATAAAAATAACTAAATGTGTGGTGGGTAGGGATGGGGACTGTCCTAGTGTCAAAGAAGAGAGAGCATCAGAAATTATCAACTCCCCTGAAAATTCTAGGGCTGCTTCCAGCACAATGCCAGACATAGGCAGCTCAGCTCTAGTAGAAAACGCAAGCCTGTACAGCCCAGAAATTGCCCCAGAATAGCCATTCGGTGCTGTGCTTCCTCAATTGCCTGCATCCAGCTCACAATGGCACTGGGTTTTAGAATTACTAGCTTCAAACTCATTCAAGACTCTCATTGTCCATAAACAAAGAGTCTACTGAGAGAGAGAGAGAGAGAGAGAGAGAGAGAGAGAGAGATCCACACCCAGAAAAAAGAGGAAAAAAAGATAAGAAAAAGCAAATGGGCTATTTCTCTAGTCACAGGGATGTAATACACAGTACAGGGAATACAGTCAATAATATTGCAATAACTTTGTATGGTGTCGGATGGGTACTACTAGACTTATCAGGGTGATCACTTAGTAAGTCATGTAAATGTCTAATCACTGTGCTGTACACCTGAAACTAATATAATATTGTATACCAACTGTAATAGAAAAAAATTTTAAATTTATCTTTATTGTTAAAAGTATTACAGATGTCCCCCCTTTTTTCCCATTGACCCCCTCCACCCTGGGCCCACCCACCCCCAGGCCTTCACCACTTTATTGTCTGTTCCATGCTTCTATGTTCCTGGATCTATTTTGTTCATCAGTTTATTTTGTTCATTAGATTCCACATATGAGTGAGATCATGTGATACTTGTCTTTATCTAGCTTATTTCGCTTAGCACAATACTCTCCAGGCCCCTCCAAGCTGTCTCAAAGGGTAAGAGTTCCTTCCTTTTTACAGATGCATAGCATTCCACTGTGTAAATGTACCAAAGCTTTTTTATCCATTCATCTACTGATGGGCACTTGGGCTGTTTCCAGATCTTAGTTATTGTAAATTGTGCTGCTATGAACATAGGGGTACATATATTCTTTTTGATTGGTGTTTTGGGTTTCTTAGAATATATTCATAGAAATGGAATCACTGGGTCATAAGGTAGTCACTTTTTTTTCTCTTAGGAAACGCCACTGTTTTCCACAGTGGCTGCACCAGTCTGCATTCCCACCAACAGTGCATGAGGGTTTTCTTTTCTCCACATCCTCACCAACACTTGTTTGTGGATTTATTGATGGTAGCCATTCTGACAGGAGTGAGGTGAATCTCATTGTGGTTTTAATTTGTCTCTCTCTGATGATTAGTGACATTGAGCATTTTTTCATATGTCTATTGGCCATCTATGTGTCCTCTAGAAAATTATCTATTCAGATCCTTTGCCCATTTTGTTAATTAAAATATTATTTCATTGATTTTTTACAGAGAGGAAGGGAGAGGGATAGAGAGCCAGAAACATCGATGAGAGAGAAACATCGATCAGCTACCTCCTGCACACCCGCTACTGGGGATCAAGCCCGCAACCAAAGTACATGCCCTCGACTGGAATCAAACCTGGGACCCTTCAGTCCATGGCCCAATGCTCTATCCACTGAGCCAAACCAGTCAGGACCCTTTGCCCATTTTTAAAAATTGGATTTTTTGTGTGTGTTGAGTTGTATAAATTATATATTTTGGAAATTAATCCCTTATCAGATGTATCATTGGCAAATATGTTCTCCCATACAGTGGGTTGTCTCTTCATTTTGTTGGTTTCCTTTGCTGTACGAAAGCTTTTTAGCTTGGTATAGTCCCATTTGTTTATATTTTCCTTTGTTTCCCTTGCCTGAGGAGACACATCGGTAAAAATATTGCTATGAGAAATGTCTGAAATTTTACTACCTATGTTTTCTTCTAGGATTTTTATGATTTTGTGACTTACATTTAAACCTTTAATCCATTTTGAGTTTATTCTTATGTGGACTTTTTAAAGAACCCTTGCCTTTATCTTTGGATCTTGAGTTCTAGGTAGGCATAAAGAAACACTATTAATTTAAAAAAAAATTCAGGATCTTAACTAGGATTTTTAAGTGTCATGAACCATTGTACAGTGGGGCCTTGACTTATGAGTGTCCCGACTAACGAGTTTTTTGAGATACCAGCTGTCTCTCGGCTGATTTTTTGCATTGAGTTGACAGAGTAATTTGAGTTAACGAGCTCCTTAACAAGCTCGGTCTCGGAACAAATTAAACTCGTATGTCAAGACCCCACTGTACAAGTAAAAAAAAAAATCTGGAATAAAAGGTAGAATGGGTAACTAGATGTTGATTCCCAGATTTCTAGTACATGAACTTGTGGAAACCTTCCATTATACAAAGTCTGTTGGGGAAAGGGGAGAAAAGAGCATTTTGAGCTTGAATTCCAACTAAAACTTGATTCCAACATCTTTAAAATATTAATGCCTTACTTTCAGTTCTGGCAACATAGAAGACTAATCTGATAATCACACTGTAAATAAAAGCAAGATTCAACTTCATGCTGTCTATAAAAGATGTTCTTTAACCATACAGATGAACCTTGAGGACATTATGCTAAGTGCCCTCCCACACACACAAAAAGAGAAATACTACACAATCCCATTTACATGAGGTATCTAAAATGGTCAAATTCACAGAATCCAAGAGTGTAATGGTAGTTTCTAGGTTCAAAGGGGAGGGAGAAATGGGGAGTTACTAATCAATGGGCATAAATTTTCAGATAAGCAAGATGAATTAATTCTAGAGATCTACTGTAAATATTGTACCTATCCAACAATAATGTATTGCACACTAAATTTTTATTAAGAGGATTAACCTCATTTTAAATGTTATCACAATACTTACATGTATGAATCCATTAACCTGAAGTTCTAGAACAGGCCAAACTATTATGTGGTGTAAAAAATAAGAACATTGGTTGCCTCTAGGGTATGAGGATGAGGCTAATTGGGTAGGTGCTTGAGAAATCTTTTCATATGATCCAGAAGTCCAACTCCTGGGTATTTACCCTAGAGCAGTGGTCGGCAAACTGCGGCCCCTTGAGTGTGGCTCTTCCACAAAATACCATGTGCGGGCGCGCACGTACAGTGCGATTGAAACTTCGTGGCCACACTCAAAGGGTCAAAGAGCCGCATGTGGCTCGCGAGCCATTGTTTGCCAACCACTGCCCTAGAGAAATGAAAATTTATGTTCATACAGAAACTTATCCATGACTTTGTTGAACTAAAAAACAACAGTAAGTTAAGTCAGTTATTTTACCAACAAAAATGGGCTCATTGGGGGAACGGCAAAGAATTGCAATTCAGGACAAACTATGGCAAAACCATAGGCAAGTGCAGAGAACAAAGGAGAGGAACTGTTCCTTTAGAGAGGAATGGGTGAAGTTGGGAGAGGCTGTTACAAATAGAGTCCATTGGAGAAAATTGGGAGTTGGAAGTGTAGTGGATTTTCATTGGATGGGCTGTGACAGTTTCTCATTGGTTGCCCAGCAATGAGAAAATCTTCCTTGTAGTTCAGTGAAAGACTAGTACACTGGCATAGAAGCAGTAGCCATAATCAAAATCAAACTACATAGGACAAAAAGAAGTCTCATTCACTTTAAATTATGGGTATCAGAGTCAGTTATTAATCTGGCTTTCAGAAACTAAGGCCCCCTTCCCTAGGTATATGTAAATCGAGTGATTTGATGAAGAACCTGGTTGAGCACAGGTTACACACGCCAACTAGGGGTTGGGGGAAAAGCCTTTCCAGGGGCACAGTTCCCATGCAAAATTGTTGAGGGGCTAGACCTTGCCTGGTACAAGCAGCATATGCAAATAGAGAATCCAGGGTCAGCCCTGGCCAGGCACCCTTTGTTGCTAGGTGACAGCTTGTTTACCTAGGTTGCTAAGGGTGTCTCTTAGCATCTCTAAGGGAACAGGACCAAAAAAACTGATCCTTCATGACCTTCATTCCGATTTTGCATCTTTATTGCTTGTCCAATCCTCCCCTGACCCCCATCAGTCCTCAATCTCCCCGTCAAAGCCACTGCCCCATGGGAGTCGATGCCAACCACTCTGTCCACCCCTCCATTCTGCAGGCGGGTTGGCATTGCACCTTCACCCTATCACGATGCCTGAGTCATGGTCTTGCACTCCACCCCAGTGAACACCAGCCTTCTGGGGACCTTGCCAGGCTCTGACTTGCTCAGAGACGATGGGGGAGTTTTCCAGACCCCAGCCTACCCCCACCCAGCCGGCCTCTCCCACCCTGGACCACCCCCTGCACTGTCACCATGGGGGGCTGCTCCTCTCTTGTCATCCCCGACTCCACCCCCGCCCCCAGGAACACACCACCACCAGCCCATCCCTCCAACCACCTCCCACACAGAGTGACTGAAGCAGGCACATGGGTTTCCTTCAACACTTTATTTTCAATAACTTGGCCCAAGGCGCCAGACAGGCCCGGGCTGCCTGGGCTGTGAGTGGGCCGAGGCCCGGGGAGCCCAGGTCATGTTGGGAAGCTACCGCCTGCCCGGGGCCACTTGGGAGATGGTGGTGTTCTCAAAGAAGCCGCTGAGCAGTGCGTTGTTGTGGATCGCCATGTCCAGCAGCTCCGGGGTGATGCGCCTGCAGCCGATTTTCTGGGCCTCGTTGCCCGCCAGCTCCAGGACCGTGGCCGTCAGGTACTGGATGATGGCCGCCAGGTACACGGGTGCGTTGGCGCTGAGACGCTGGGTGTAGTGGCCGTCCCGCAGGAGGTGCTCCAGGTGGCTCACGGAGAAGGTCAATTCAGCTCTGCTGGTGCGGCTGCGGGTGCGGTTCCGCCTCTGGTGATCAGAAGACCCTCCGCGGCTCCTTTGCCCAGACATGATGGGTGCTGGGGTGCACTGTCTCCGACCCGCCTGGATCTACAGTGCGCTGTGGCGTGCTGCGGTGCGGTTCAGTGCGGTCAAGTGCAGGAAGATGCCAGTTGGTCTCAACCGCTCAAGATGGCCAGTACAGAGGCTCCTGCTCTGTATCCTAGCGACCATGGACCGACCCCTCATTGGTCCAGGTACAGGCTGTATGACACATAAGTTCTGTGAGGTCACTGCTTTCCCATTGGCCCTGGTGGGCCGGGGCCTGCAAAGAAGGGGTGCTGGCAGCTCCCTGCTCACCCTTGCCATGGGACCCTCTCTTTGAGGGAACTCTCACTGTCCACTGGACAGGAATGTTGTAGAGAAAAAACATGTGGGATCCAGTGGCACCAGGTATAACTGGTGATGTTGGACAGCCAGCACACCTATCTACTTCCAAAACGTTGGAACCTCCCCAAAAGAAACCCCTGTACCCTGTGTGGCAGTCACTCCCACTGCCCTCCTCCTCTCCTGGACCCAGGCAACCATGAACCTGCTTCCTGTCCATAGAGGCTCGCCTATTCTGGAAATTTCTAGGGATGTAATCATAGGATAAACAGGTGGCTTTTTGTGTCTGCCTACTTTCACTGAACATAATGGTCTCATTATGGTTCACCCTGGTGGTAGCATGAATCAGCACTTTATTCCCTTTTCATGCCTGAATAATATTCCCTTGTATGGGTGGACTACATGTTGGGCATGGGTTCCTCAGTTGGTGGATGTTTGGGTCATTTTCACCTACTGGCTGTTGTGAATAGCACCGCGGTGAACATTCCTGCACAGAGTTCTGTTTGAACACCTGTTTTCCGTTCTTCTGTGTGTCTATCTAGGAGCGGAATTGCCAGGCCATGTGGTAATTCTATGTTTAACTTACTGAGGAACCGCACACTGATTTCCATAGTGATGGTTCCATTTTACAGTTCTGACAACAGTGTCTGAGGGCCCCAATTGCTCCATATCCTCATCAAAACTTATTTCCCTTTTGTCTTGCTTATAATCGCCATCCCAGTGGGTGTGAAGTGGTATCTCCTGGTTTTGATTTGCATTTCCCTAATGGCTAGTGATGTGGAGCATCCTTTCATGTGCCTCTTGGCTATTTGTACACCTGCTTTGGAGGAAGCAGATGTACTTTCAACTGCTTTGCCCATTTCCTAAAACTGGGCTGCTTGTCTTTTCTGTTGCTGAGTTTTAAGGTTCTTGATGCAGTCTGGAAAGTAGGCCACTATCAGACATGTAATTTGCAAATGTCTCTCCCATACTGAAGGTTGTCCTTTCACTTTCTAGATGGAGTCCTTTGAGGCACAAATGTTTTGCATTTGGATGGCATACAATTTATTTGTTTTACAGTGCAGAAAGGGGATTGGAAATGCTTCTACTTCTTAAACAGTTTTCACCCTCATTGTTTTGGTGCCCACCCCCTTCACCTCCACTTCCAGAGTTAGCCTTTGCAGCCTTTGAAGATTCTTCTGGTGGGCAGAAGGACAGTAGTAAATCAGGATGGTTTGGGGCTTTTCCTACTTAGGGCTTAGGATTCCTAGTTTGTGGCCTTCTGGGGTCTGTTCCGTTAATTACCACTCATCTATCTCCTTTCCTGCTTTTTCAATCTTGTCAAATATAATTTTTGAGTAATTTCAGTAGATTTGGGGGACTTGATAAAGTTATATGTGGAAGTATGTGTTCCGCCTCAACTATACCTCATGGAGAGCATGGAGGTCTGCTTGCCTGCCTCATTCACCCTGTGCGCTTTTTTTTTTTTAATCAAGCCACTCTCCCTAAAATACTCCAGACTCAGATGCTCTCATCGGGTTCTTTGATCCATTCTGTGACCTTTTTTGCCCTTTTAGCTCTCAGCCCCAAGACCATGTACTCCAAACCAACTTCCTAACCGTAAACCCTCAGGCCATGCTTGAAGTTCAGATGCCTTGCCAATATGTGTCTGCTTCATAACCTGTCTACTCTCTCTGACCCCTATCATTTCCACACACTTTTCCAGTTCTGACCCTCATAACTCTACTCCTTCTCACTAAGTATAACGCTGACTCCTATCAGACACAGGCTAGCCCTGGTCCCTCCTATTCATTCAAATAATGATATTGGTGACAGTGATAACTACTAAGTGCTAAATGTTTCTTATGTGATGCTCACTATGGTAGACACTTTATACACATGACCTTGTTTCATTCTTCATCACAGCTTTACCTGATAGATGGCATTTATTAGACCCATTTTATAGATGAAGAATCAGAGGCTCAAGGAGGGAGAGCAGCTTCCCAAAAATCACCAGGCTGGTAAGAAACAGAGATGGAATTTAAACCCAGATCAGGCCAAGCCCATGCTCTTCTTAGGACACTATCCTGCTTCAGTCAAGGCCTCAGAGAGGGAGCTGGTAAGCAGAAGGTGAGAAGGTACTTAGTGCCTGAACTGGAAAAATGGCCACCATCAATGGGACAAAAGGAGACCATGAAGAAAGATGGGGCTAACAAAGAAAAAGCTTCACTGACTTCACAGGTTTGAATAGCATTGACCCTGTGATCTTCATTTGTGCACAGGATAAATTACCATGCTTATCTACCCACACAGACAGAAAGTTAGTACACCACTATAAATCAATATACTCACCAACATGGGTTAGCACATTGCGGGCGGATCACGAGCATTCTCGTGTTTTCATAGTACAAGTGTTTTACATAAATGTTAAAGGCACACCTTAAAATTAACTACCCATTGCATTTTGAAGTTATTTATTGCATGTTCTTACAAGCTAATATCTTTTTAAAATATGATACTTTGTAAAACGTTTTTTGTACTCGTTCAATAGCAACTTATCTGGCCACTGGGTAAAGCTAGCAATAAAACTACTGGTGTGCAATGTGTTAGGATGATTTATCACAATTGTAAAAGATGCTTGATTATTTTTGTCCAGAAAGAAAGCTTGAATTCTATTAATAAAGCTAAGACTTTTACTGCTTCCTAGCCTGGCACAAAAATGAAGTCATAACAATAAACCTGAGTCGTCAAGAAAGCATGTAGTCATATTTTACAAACCAAACTTAGGGAATTATGGCCCTAGCTGGTTTGTCTCAGTGGATAGAGTGTCGGCCTGTGGACTGAAGGGTCCCGGGTTCGATTCCTTTCAAGGGCATATGCTCAGGTTGCAGGTTAGATCCCCAGTGTGGGGTCTACAGGAGGTAGCCGATCAATGATTCTCTCTCATCATTGCTATTTCTTTTTTTTAAAATATATTTTATTGATTTTTTACAAAGAGGAAGGGAGAGGGATAGAGAGTTAGAAGGGACCCTTCAGTCCACAGGCCAGCGCTCTATCCATTGAGCCAAACCGGCCAGGGCTCATCATTGCTATTTCTATCTCTCTCTCCCTCTCTCTTCTTCTCTGAAATTAATTTTAAAATATATTTTAAAAAAACAAATTTAGAGAATTAGGGAAGAGTAAAATCCACATGGGAAAGATTTACATTGATTTCCCACTCAAGATGGTAGAGTGAGTTCATACTATGGAAAGCCTGCCACTCCAAACACATGACAATGATGGAAAAAAATATTAACAAGTAAAATAAAAAATGAACAGCCAAGACAAAAAAAATGGTCTGTGTTGAAATGGCAGGCTTTGTAGACTGGAAGAAAATACTGACAGCAAGAAATTGAGCTCCTTGCAGAGTCTAACATTCCAAAAGTACTCTAAGATGAAGCACAAAAGCCAGGCTTATTGCTTCAAGCCAAAGACTAGCATCAAACTATCCAAAACCCCACTAACTCCTGCATGTATATCTGACAGAAAAAGAACTACTATCAAATCTATCAGGGTCATTGGCTCTTATGAGTTTCAGGCCTACAGAGATGAGAACAAAGACATTGCCTGACATCACAACTAGGAGCTGAGCTAAGTAACCAGCTGGCTCTGTGAGTGGATCCCCTAAGATGCCCAGGAGCTCTCTGGGGAAGTGATATGAACATGTCCTATAAAATGGTTTTAATCCTAACAACTGACTGGTATTTTGCAAGAGTGCAGTAAAGAAGGAAAGGGTGCTGAATAGAATGATTTCCTTCTATCACAAAGCTTCTACCTTTGCAACAAGTAAAATTAGAGAAATTGGAAAACACTTTTTAGAAAGTGAGGGGGTTTTGTTGATGTTTGCAAACTATTTATAAAACTAATCTAGCTATTCTTGTGTGTGTTTTTATGGAATTTCCATGCAAGCAAGAAGACAATGGAGTCACATCTTTAAATTATTGAACAATTTAACCCATAATTCTATACCAATTGAAAATATCCCTAGAAAAATAAAGAAGAAATACTTAATAGATGAACAAAAACTGAAAAGAATTGTCAGCATACCTACCCTGACAGACATGTTAAAAGAAGTTCTTTCAGAAGAAATACAATAGAGTTTAGAAACTTGGATTAGACAAAGAAATGAACAACTTTGTATATGATATAAAGGGATGTAAAATACAACATATTTCTCTCATTTTAAGGGTATTGAAAAATAACTATTTGTTTAAAGCATTAATGGCAGTAATATATGGGCTGTTTATAACATATGCTGAATGAAATGTAGGAGAACAATGGCACAAAAATGGATACAATTCTTACATTACACAAGAAGTGGCATAATATTACTGGAAAACAAACAGTCTACTTATTGAAAACTCAAGATAATGACTGAACTTGTTTAAGAAAAGATGCATAAATTATGTCATCGGAGGAGATAAAATGGGATCATATAAATTGCCCAATTAAAACCAGAGAAGGCAGAAAAAGAGGGGAAATAACGCAGCAGACCTACAATAAAAATAAAACAGCTAGAAATATGATAGATGTTTATCTAATTATATTAGTAACTTTTAATATGAGTAGACTAAATACACCGGTAGAAAGAACTTGTCAGATTGCGTTAAAAATTACAACTCAACTAAATCTTCAATAAACCCAATTAGAATATAAACTTATGTAGATTAAAAGTAAAGAGATGAGAAAGGCATAGCCTGCAAATGTTAACAAAAAGAAACCTGGATGGGTGTGACATCAGCATCATGGCAAAGTGTGACACCCTCTTAGTGTTTCCCCATAAGTCTACAGCTTGTCAGACATCTATAATACAACAAAAGTTTCTCTGTTCAACACACTAGGATCCCTGAGAGATCCACGCATTGGCACATCTGAAGTTGAGCATACTGTAATGCATGGGAGAGAAAGGATGTGGGGGCAGGAATAGGAACAATGCCCACAGACACGGTTTCTCAAACACTGTGACAATTACCATGATCCCAGTGACCACGGTAGTGTTAGAGGATCCCCAATACCACTTCACCATGAAGGGTAAGATGGGCAGAAGCAGAGTCAGTGCCAGAGAATCTGGCTCCCTCCCCCCAATGATGGCAGAGCCCCCTGGCAGCAGAAATAAGTCTAAGGTTTGCCATGGTACCAGCAGCCATAGGGAACCAGACAGCAGCACAGAAGGTTTGCAAACCTGGCTCCTCCCACCTGCCACATCTCCTTACCATGGTGATGATGCCCCAACAACCAGGAGACCCATCACCCTAATTACCCACAGGTTGACTCCCAGTTCCACAGAGAGCATCCCCACCCCCCACGGCGACATTGGAGGTGCAAGCAGTGCAGGTAAGAGAAAACAAAAACTTGCACTATAGCACCATCTACTGGAAGATGTAAAGAAAGACCTCTAATTACCAACCTGATGAATGGCTAAAATCACAATGGTACCTAAATAAGAAAACTGTTCACTGCTTCAAATGTGCCAACAGAGAAACAACCCATAAGCACTGTGGAAACTAAGGCGACATGGTAACGCAGAAAGAAAATGACAATTCTCCAGAAATCAAACTCAAACACATGGATTGTGATCTAGAGGATTCCGAATAGCAATCATGAAAAAAAACTCAATGATATCGAAGAAAACTCAGAAAAGCAGTTCAATGGGATTGGGAATAAATATAATAAACAGAAGGAATATGTTACCAAGAGATTGAAACTCTGAAAAATACCCAGAAATCTTGGAGCTGAAGAACTCAGTAAATAAGATTAAGAATGTATTGGAAAGTATTTGAAATTGAACAGACCATATGAAAGAGAGAATTAGCAAGCTGGAAGATAAAAATCTAAAAATGATTCAGGTGGAGGGGAGAGAGAACTAATTTTTAAAAAAATTAATGAACTATACAATAACTAGCTGATTTCTTTAGAAAGGGCAATATAAGGATGATTGGTATCCCAAAAGGAGAAGAGAAGGAGAAGGGAACA